CCGCGCAAGGTGGAGGCTTTGTGCAGTTGGGAACCCCCACGTTGGGTGAAGGACGTCCAGCATCTGCTGGGGTTCGCCAACTACTACCGGACCTTCATCCCGGGCTTCGCCACTCTGACCTTGCTGCTGACACAACTCCTTCAGAAGAAGGTCCCGTTCCAGTGGGGGGCCCCGCAGCAGCAGGCCTTCGAGGTCCTCAAGCAGGCCTTCATCACGGAGCTGGTCCTCAGGCATCCCAATCCACACTGTCCGTTCGTGGTCGAGACGGATGCGTCCAACGTGGCGATTGGAGCAGTTCTGCTACAGGCTCCGGTGGATGGTGGCACTCTTTTTCCCTGCGCTTATTACTCCCGGAAACTCAATCCTTCCGAGCGCAACTACACCATCTGGGAAAAAGAGTTGCTGGCTATCAAGGCCGCATTCGAGGCTTGGCGGCATCACCTTGAGGGGGCCCNGCCAGGTGCTTCTGGGATCGGCCAGGAGCCAGGTGTATCGGACTCCGAGGAGGATACGTCTTGGCTGGATCCACGCCAGCGTCGGAGGGACAAGCGTGCGCAGCAGCTGAAACACCGTGCCAGAGATTTCAGCTGAGTCACTGGGCCACACCCCACAGGCTATATAAGCAAGGGGTGTGCCGTTTGAAACTTTTGTGACAAACAATTTTGCTGAATCTCCTGCTGCAGCACTCCGGCAATTTATCCTGGACTTATCGTATGTTTGTAGTGTGTTATCAGTAAAAGCCTTGGCAGGCAGCCACGGAGTTGCTGCCAAGTGTTCATCTGTATTTGGCTGTGCTGAGCAGTTTTTCAGCCCTCGGCTGACTGGTTGGGGTGTGTGAGTCGGACGGGGGACAGAACATGTGCTCTGTGGAAGAGAACTATGACAGAAATTCAACCATACTGGACAATTCTAATCAAAGGAGCCAGACAAAAAATATCTCTCCCATCAACAATATAGGGAGACATAATTTACAGAAATCATTCCGGATCATCACCCAGGACCATGCTAGGAGTCGGAGTTCCTGAACTTCTGGTGACAAATGTAATATCAAATATAAGTAGGAGGTCCACATAACAAACCTACCAACTAATGTGCAGCATAACTGTATACCTTGGATGCTATATCAACAAACAAGAGAAAAAGACAAACATCACCAAAATAGAAGATCAGGCTGGAAAATAAGATCTGCATGCTAAGAATAGATGCAACCAAGCTAGAACAGATGAAAGAAAAGAAACTGAAGAACAAGAAGACCAAAGAATACCTGATCAAGAAACAAGGAAGATTAAGGAAGAGCTGTAAACCAAGATCTGAAGCTTGAATTGTACACTATAGGCAGAATCTCCAATTTCAAATGAATCAGAAACATTTCTACCAATTCATTAATGGAGAGAATGCAGTGAACCAATCAGTATCTGACAAAGAAAAAACCGTGCAACTCTGGGACAATGGGGCAATCCAACAAATACAACAAGAATGCAGCTTGCATAAAAGAGGTGATAAGAATAAAAAATGCTGAAATGAAATAACTTGTACTAACATCAGAAACAGTGACGAAACGAGCAAAGAAGCTCAAGAATTGGTCAGCACCAATTCTTCAGACGAACTGCAAAGTTTTTAGTTCAAATATCTGAATGGTCTGCAAACACTCCTCGGCAAGCAACTTAACAACATACTGCAAGGAGGTGAAGTTGAAGACTGGTTAACATCTGGCAAAACCTAACTACCTGATAATGCAAGATTAAAAAAAAAAAAGAGGTAGCACCAAGCAACTACAGGACAATTACCTGCTTACCAACAACTTTCAAATTGCTAACTGGTGTGGTAGCTGATGTAGTCCAACAGCATCTAATTGAAAACAAGATCTTTGTACCTGAGCGGAAAGGAAACTGCCCAAACAAGAGAGGAACAAAAGATCAGCTCCTAATTGACATGATGATTTTGGAAAACTGAAAGAGAAGAAACATCAATTTGAATGTAGCTTGGATTGATTACAGGAAGGCATTCAGTTCCCTGCCATGTAGTTAGATAGTAAGTGCCTGGAAACATCAGAAACTTAGTGCAAAGATCAAGGGCACAATGGAAGACATGGTTGCCAGTCAATGGTGACAGAGTGGGAGTGATTAATACCAAGAAAGGAATCTTTTAAGATGACTCATTCTTAACACTTTTGTAATTGCGCTGATTCTTCTGTGAACAAGTCATCTGCCAGAGTATCCCACCTCTTTTACATGGACAATCTGAAGCTCTATAGAAAAAGACCATTTGAAATAGAATCACTGCTCAACACTGCCTCTATATACAGCCAAGATATTGCAATGGAGTTTGGACTAGACAAATGTGTTAACCTCACCATCAACCAGGGAAAAATAATGAAAGCTGAAGGAATCAAGATGCCCTGTGGAAATAATTTAGTTCATGATAAATTTTTATTTTCACTTCTGCTTCTACTTCTGCATAACAGTTGCTGCAATTCCTCTCAGATAAGGATCCCAATGTAAACAAACAGGCAGAACACCAGTTCTCCCATGGATGGTGCAGGAACTACACGTCAGAACAGTTCTGTGCTAAACTGCAAAGATTGATCAGTTTGGCACAAATAGTCAGTCAGGCTAAGCTAGATTGAAATTCACACTACATGGATATCAGAATTAGTCCTGGTTTTGAATTATGAAGGAACACACTTTTTAAAAATACTCTGGATGTTGAACAATATTCATTGGGGGGGGAGGAAATCAGAGAATAAGCCCTATGATGGGATTTACGGTCAACACAAGCTTTATAATGGTGATCTACACATGAAGGTAATTCTTCATATTTGCAAATGTTGTGCTTTGTATAATTTTATGTATGCATCCACATATATGGGCATGAACTGATCCAGCTGTCCATTTCAACAAGCAATGACACTGTGTCCCATAAGCTCTGCTCCTTTGGGATATGTGTATAACCTGACAAACGACTTATAAAACAGATGGTGCTCTTGTTAGCATGGCCAATTTGACTCACCCCCTTCTTGCAAATATTGCATATACATTTATGCATGTCCATATACAGTATGTACTTGTATATACATCCATGCATGGATGGATGTGTGTCTGTCTTCATTTATTTATGCCACCTAAGGGGAAAAGTACACAGCAGACAGAGTTTCATCTGCTCTTCTTTCTTGAAGATGATGAGAGACTGCCAAAAGGAAATTGGGTCTTTCTTGTCATCATAAACAATGAAGAGACCTGGCTATTGCAAGATTAGAACAGCTGTATTTCATAACACCTGAGACTTCTGGTTCTTGTAAGATTTGGCAATAAAATCTAGGAAGAAAAATCAGCTTACTAATCAACTGGCAGGCAGACCTATCATAACACACATCTAGTTATCTCAAGCTTTGGCTCTTTGCTCTTTTAAAGGTTGTTTGGAACTTTTTCCCACTAGGTTTTTTATCTTCCTGGATGTAAGTGCTCTTTAGCTTAAAGATAGATCTTTTAAATACAGTTCTTTAATGTCTATGTAAAGCTTCTGGGTGAAATCCATGGGAATTGGGATGCAGTGCCACCAGTATGCTGATGACATTCAGCTCTTTTTCTGCCTTTCACCAGAGTTAGGTATGATGGTGGCGTTGAATCAATATTTGAATCCTGTAATGGGAACAAGGGAATCCAATAAACTTTAGCCTCACCTGAGAAGTGAAAGTCCTGTGAATTGGTAATCCCTGGGTCCAGAAATGGGTATCTCTAATTCTAATGGGACTGCCTTTCTTTAAAAGGGCAAGCACAATGCCTGATATAGACCAATGCACCTGGTTCTGCAGCTGCAGCTTTTTCTCACAACAGTTGGCTCGACCACACAAATCCACACTTTGATTTATTTATTTATTGAATTTATATTCAATTAAATTTCTGGTACAGTATTGCCTGATCCTGCACTTGAAGATTATTCAAAATCATAGCTAATAGTGATTGTGGTACTAAATACTCATAAGAGTAATAAGAAATACTCATTCAGAAACTGTAATAACAGTCCTAGAAAGGATAACAATGGCTGCAAGTGTTTTTTTTTTAATAACATCTTGGCCAATTCAATTTGATATGCATGCTTTCAGCTTGTACCATACTATCTGAAGAAGCATTCCAGCTGAACTGACAGACTGGTCCTTTTGTAAAATGGAACAGAAAGGACGATAATATAGTTACACCTCAGGTGTATGGGTCTCCATTTGGCCAATCTTGATGCAAGAGATAAAATATGAGTGTGGAGTTCACCCCCAAATAATGGCAAAGTCCACGGTTATGGATGCAGTCTGGAGAATTGACATACTTGGTGGCACTTATATCATTTATGTTCTACATTTCCTTAAAAAATATATGGGTTTAACATTTTATAGAGATTAATAATTTCTTGCTTTGGCAAATATATTAATTTTGCTTGTTCTAAAGATGTATCAGATAAAAGTAGTTCCAATTAACAATAATGTTTGCAGTCAGAAGGTGTTTTCTTTGTAGATTAATCCATGCCATCTTGAGCTGCTTATAAATCTAAATTTATATCTATTTACATCATTTGCTTAATTACATCATTTGTTAAGCAATGGCATAAATTGTCACTGATGATGTAAATCAAATGATGCAAATGGTATGTTATGCCATTATGTAAATTCAGACTTAACCAATATTCGTGTCTGATACCTCTTTCTTCCCAAATGGTCTGTTAAATCAAGATTTCATCACATTTCATTTCCATCTTTTTTGTGGTACTATTTTATATAATTATGGCAACATGCTCTGGATGGGTAGGTTTGGATTTACTTGTTTATTTAATTTGGGGATTCTGCTTGGAGCACGTTTTTCAAAATCGAACGGAAATGAATAAATAACCTTAACTGCTGCTTGTTACTTAAGCAAATAAAGCTGTTGTGTGGAAACACATTACGTTCTAAGCTATAATCTATCAGAAAAATGAAAACAAATAGTAATAATAACATGAATTTAAAAAACCCTCACCTCATTCACTGTGACATAGTACTGTTCTTGCTGGAATTTGGGAGAATTATCGTTTCTATCCCTCACCACGATCCGAACTTCATGATTGATAATAGTTCCTACTTTTCGATTAATGCACTGGACTTGGACTACAATAGATTGAATGGATGCTGGTAGCTGTAAAGGAGAGAAAAAAATAAAACTATAAGTACGTTAAAGTATTTTCCAAGTATGGATACCTATGGTGGGATGCAATCTTCTTAATTCCATCATGAGGAATAAAGCTAATTTAGTTCATTGGGCTTGTTCCCAAATCAGTATATCAACAATTAAGCCCAAAAATTCTGTTGCTAAGCAAGACATTTATTGAGTTTTGCCCCATTTTATGACCTTTCTTGTCATTTGTTAAGTGAATCAATGCAGGTGTTAGTAACATGGTTGTTAAGTGAATCTGGTTTTCCCATTGACTTTGCCTGTCAGAAAGTTGCAAAGGGGGATCACATGACCCTAGGACATAAATATGAGTCAGTTGCCAAGTATCTGAATTTTGATCACAAGACCATGGGGATGCTGCAATGGTCATAAGTGTGGAAAATGGTCATAAATCGCTTTTTTTAATACCGTAATAACTTCAAATGGTCACTAGAAGAACAGTTGTAAGTTGAGAACTACCTGTAATTAGTCCATAAAAGTTGCACGATATCTGGTCATGAATGTCAGTATATCTCAGATGTAAGTATTGCAGTGCAACTGATATTATATACCTATACAATATATTTTAAAGCTTCTGAACAATTGTAGCGATTGCCTTATATTAAAATATATAAATGTCATGATCACATTTTGCCTTTAACTAATTGTCAAATAGAAAATTCAAATACAACAGGTCTGCTTTTAAAGAATATAAGTGAGATCAATCTGTCTTCTGTTTCATCAAACATTAATTGTATTAGAACAAGGCTTTTCAACCAGTGGTACGGGTACCACCTGTGGTACATTGGCACCTGGCAGGTGGTACAGGACCATCCTAGAAAAGTGATAGCAGGGGAGGGGAATGAGCTGAACTGGTGGCAGCACCGCACAAGCCTGAGCGAGAGATGGCTGGAGCTGCAGGACTGTCAGGGCTCAGCAGAAGCGCCAGGATCAGCGCCAGGCTCCAGCTGATCCTGGCGCTTCTGCTGAGCCCAGAAGAAGTGCCAATCAGCTGGAATGTTGCAGCATCTCCATGGTCTTGTGATTTACATTCAGATGCTTGGCAACTGATTCATATTTATGATGGTCACAGTGTCCCAAGGTCATGTGAAGTGATCAAAACCTGCTGCAACCACCCAGCAGATGGGGAGAAATAAAAACCAAACCCCCTCCCACCCACCCCACTGCCACAGAACTCAACAGAAATGCTCACAACAATGAAAACCTTGGACAGGAGGAAGAGCGCCACTGGGTGGGCAGGCAGGTTTCTTGCCTGCTGTGGCTTGGGGGGCACTTTTTTCAGTGCCATTGTAATTTTGAACAGTTACTAAGCAAACTGTTGTAAGTCGACTACCTGTACTTCATTACTTTTTTCCTTTTTTTATGGGTCATCAAGTTTTTGACACCTTGCTAGGTGACTGGTGGTACTCGGATATTGCCATGTCCTAAAAGTGGTACAATGGGTGAAAAGGTTGAAAAGCCCTGTATTAGAAGGCAAACTTATCTTACATCCACTAATGCTTAATATTATAGGAATTAAAGGGAGGGAAAACTAAGAAGAGTAAGACCTGATTATTACTTGAATAGGACATTTTGGGAAAGCCCAAGATTGTAGGCTAGGCTGAAAAATTGGGAGAAGGAAAGCATACCAGAAGGTTGCTGAACCCAAAACGGTATTTATCTTTCACTAGATCATATGAAGTAATGAATGCCGGTTATCGTAACCATGGGGATTCTACAATGGTCATTAAGTGTGGAAAATGATAATGTCACTGTTTTCAATGCTGTTGTAACTTCAGATGCTCGCTAAACAAATGGTTGTAAGTGAAGGATTACCTCTAACATTGTTTATATTGTTTGTGTGGATATATTACAGTACTTAACAAATCATGGCTTCAAGAGATTGGGTGTGTGTTAAAAAGAAAGTAAATTTTAGTGTAAAGCAACAAATAGAGTAGATTAGATCAGGACTTCCTATTACATATGAATAAAGAGAGTGTGGTGCTAAGGAACAAACCATGTCAGTTTTTTCTTAAACTTAACAAAACTTAAGTTTCTCTATGACAGAAATGCTATCACATAAAAAGCTGAAATTGTGGCAAGGAAAAAAAATGTGCCCAGGTGAATCATTTGGTGAAAGTGCTGAAATGTTAAGCATTAGAGTGTTAAAGTACACAAAAATAGATTGACCATGTGAAAATAAGTTTCAAAGCTAATTATGGATGGCTTTGGTAATTTTATAAATAGAGTGCAATCATTAACAAACACTTTGTCAACAAACCTTTAAATATGGAGGAGCAATGGAAGAGATACTCCCTTACAGGAAAAGCTTAAACAAACTCATCAATGATGAAGGCATCAAACTGTCAAAATTTACAATGCAAAAGAGACTGGTTTGTTCGAACATTGAGTTCTCAAGAACATTCAGGCATTTAGATGTAAAAAAACCAACAGGATGTAGATAGGCATGAAATGGATCCCATTGTTACTTTGTGCAAATGCCACTGCATTGCATAGATTAACGTCAGTCATTGTTGGCAAGTCACATTATTCAGAACTGTTAAAAGGCATTACGCATCAACTGCCTGCATGGATTCACAAACAATATTGTCTGTGTCAACACTTTTTTCAGGAACAGCTCTTCAATCACTTTGTTCCAGAAGTCAGAAAACTTCTAAATGAGATACTAAAAATATCAAGTGAAACACCATGGTTTTTCTTAGTCAGAACTATGTTATTTTTTTTGGGGGGGGGGGAAATAATGTGTGTTTTTTCCCCAAAAGACAGTATAGCCCAGGGGTATGCAACCTTGGCCCTTTTATGACTCATGGACTTCAACTCCCAGAATTCCTGAGCCAGCCATGCTTACCCCTGGTATAACCATTTGGTAAAACCATTTTACCAAATTAAAGAGGTTTTTTTCCCCTTGAGGAAATGAATCTGATAAGGAAAGTGACATAAGATGGCCTTAAAAACTTTAGAATCTATAAGTTAAAATCATCAATCTTTATTTTTGCTACAACTTGGAAACCAGTCAAAAGTCCAGTACTGCAGCTGGTTAGCAAAATTGCTTTACAACAATGGCATGGACTTATAATTTATTGATATTAGGCCACAAACTGTTACTTGGGGAAGTATACAGCATTAAAACAAACAAACAATAACCCCCCCAAAAAATAAAAATCCATCCCCAGATCATATACTGCAACATTCAGCATATACAATATATGTATACATTATATACAACATAGATAATGCATGAATGTAAAGTGTAAAATGTAAGAGAGATTTTAAGTCAGTTATTACTATAGCATCGTTGAGAAAACTGGCAAAGAGACAGCAAATGAAGACAACATCTTGCAGTTGCCAAAGGAAGATGGTTCCATGTTTTGACAGAAAGTGAAATAGCTTTTGTTGGAAATTGAAAACAAAGAAGGTAGGTAGGTAGGTAGGTAGGTAGGTAGGTAGGTAGGTAGGTAGATAGATAGATAGATAGATAGATAGATAGATAGATAGATAGATAGATAGATAGATAGATAGATAGATCGATCCATGTTTTGACAGAGAGATAGCAAGTTTCCAGTTCCGGATTGCAGCGCTGGCGGGCAGTGGAGAGAGTGTTCTCTCCGTTGCCCGGTTTCCCTTTGTCGGGCGACCCTGAAAACGGTTGTAAGTTGCCTCAGAGGGGTGACGACCATGAGGAGGACCCTCGATAGATCGTGGAAGGGTAGCAGCCCTTCCGTTTGATCCGAGGCAGCTCCTTTGGACCATCAGAGGAAAGATCAGCCATCAACATGGCCGATCACTAAGCCATGCCTGCCGAAAGCCAAAATCACCACTAAGCACAACAAAAGCACTGTGGAGGATTTGGGTGAGACTCTTCTTTCCCTTTCTCTTACCCCAACTACCTTCCTGTGAAAGCCTCCTGAAATTTCTTCCCCGCTTCTAACACAGCGGCGTTTACTTACTTTGGGAAATTAAGCTTTGGAAAAAAAAGAACAACTAATCTAAATAACTAAATAACTGGATTTGTATTTTTTGGACACTTTGGGGTCCCAAAAAGTTCCTATTACAGGGATCTATCATGTCATCTATTTGTTAACTTGGAAAAAAAAATTTTAAATTGGATAAAAGTTTAACCGGTATCTGGAAAAATATTTTATAGTCTATCGGGGACACCTTGTGGTGAAGCCTGGTACAGCAACTGAATTTGTTTTTGACTGTGAGGCCTGTTTATTCTTTAGAATTGGCCTTCACACTATCTAAAAAAGATAAGAACCTGAACAGCTGGGTGGTGAAAATAACCTCTAGGAATAGTGGAGGTGGACATTTGTTGACTTTTACTAAACATAGCCTCCACTAAAAGATTATCTCTAACCACCACAGAAATGGAGGAATTCTACCCACTATAAACTTGTACTCGAAAAAATCCTTGAAGCCACTGAGCTAATGAACTCCAGAGTGAAAATCACAAATGGAAACCCAGACTTTAACTGATGAACTTACAAACCAAAAAACAACCGAAGAGGAACCAATTAATATCAAAGAGGATTCTACACAACAACAAATACAACCCACAGAGAATTTTGACAACTAAAGTACTTGTAACTCAAAAAGCAACAGAAACTGAAGAAAGCAACATTAAGATGGAAACACAATATATTGAGAACTTAGACAATTTTGACAATCAAACAAAAACTACAACACCAGATATAACCTTTTACTCTAGCCAGATGAAACTGGAAAAAGAAGAAGACCTGACTGAACTGATGACAAACATCTTCAATCAAACAGGGAGATTTGAACTACTAGGGCAACAATTTAATGACTACAAAGGGGCCAGTTCCTTTGAAAAATTGATAACTGGATGGTCTCCCTTGATTCAAACAATGTGTGTAGGAATGAAGGGAGACCCACTTGAGGATTCAAGGGCACTGGTATGGAAACCTGCTTGCCACAAAAAGAAAGCTAGAGTTAGATTCAAA